CTGAGTTATTGTTTTTATCTTTTCTTTTATCGTTTTTATTATTTTCTACATTTTGTTGAAATTGCATATTGATTTGGCTTGATGGAAAAAAAAAGTTGTCATTTTATGAAGTTTAGCTACCATTTTCTCTCTCTTTTTCTTCAATCTCCTTTTAGAAGCTCCACTTTCATATTTTCTTATGATATTAATAACAGCTGTATAACCTGAAAAGTGTTAAGTTATTCGTTTTTTCTCTTGAAAATCTTCACTTTTGCAAGTTTAGCGCTACAGCTTTTATATGTATTCATACAAGAATTCGTTTGTGCAGAAGTACAAAAGACTTGTTGAGTTGCTATCGTTAATACATTTTCAAAGACAATATAATTATTCAAGTCATTTATAATTTTTTAATGGGAGCTGTTTTTTAGCAAATTGTACAAACATTACATTTTACATAATAAAAGATTTTACTAAAAATTAAATGATAAAATTTAATAATAAATAAATTTAATAAAAGATTTTTAATAAAAGATTTTATTTCCAGAGTTAATAAAAATCTTTAGTATCCTAGCCCCCATATTATCCTGCACTGTTAGTGAATCAAGATAATTAGAAATTGGATTAGATTCATTATCTAATCCATAAAAAATCCATATTAAAATCTCTCATAAGAAGAATGCTTTTTTTTAGTATTTAGCTTATCTAATAGAGGAGTAAAATAATTAGTAGTGAATTGGTCTTGATTCATAGAGGGGTGTTGGTATATGCAATCAGTTCTTATATTTTTGTGAGTCTTTATAGCTTTAACAAAAATAGATATTTATTATATTTGTATCACTTAAATGTAAATTTACACATACATGTTATTTATTATATATTGCATATGATGATTGATACATCTTGCTTTTTTAAATTTCCTTTCCCATCCAAGTTAATCTTTTTTGCATTCATTTAATCCTTTTTGTATCCGAGTTAATCCTTTTTGTATTCGAGTTAATCCTTTTTGTATTTATTTAATAAAAAATGCAAAGTTTTTTCAAATTTATATCTTTTTTAATGGTTCAAAAAAAAAAAGATCACTGATAAAATTTATCAATGGATGAAATTTAAACTGATAAAGTTCATCAATGAATGAATTTTATGCGTAGAGACTTGTACACATTCAAATTTAAAAATTGTTTTTTTTTATATCTTCATCATTAAACAATTGGGTTGGACAAAATTTTTCTATTATTCTTTCACATGTAGGCAAATTAGTAAGCCTTTTATTTATAAATACAAAATTGAAAAATCAATTTAATTGATTAGCAATAACTTTAAGTTGTCAGTTGATACTTTATTGTTTTCGATTAAAATTGCTTATATGGTTTTTAGATTTTAATTTACTATTAATATAAGTATAAATTTGGTTTGGATTATTTTTCGATTCTGTTGTATCGACACCAAAGGTTACGCTTGAGTCAAATTTCATGTTTCAATTCTTTATTCATGCATAGAGATCTTCTGATTTAGTTACTTTTTGATTAAATGAAATCATTGCATCCATTTTCATAAACTTTGATAAACCTGTCACAATTCTGATCAACATCAAGTTCAGTAAACTTGTGACTACAGATAAATCTGTTTAGATTTTTTGAACGTTTATCATAATTTTATTCATGAATACATATCATTTTTGCAAGTAATATGTGCTTGATAATTAAAATTAAAACATAAAAAATGATGACCTATTTTTGTTTTTTTTAAGAGATCCATATGCACCATGCTATATATAAAAAAGAAAAGAATGTAAACACTAAACAAAATGTATTTTTTTATTTTGTTCCATATAGTTGGAATGTTGATTTTTTTATGCTGCGCAAGATAGTATTCTTTAAAACATTTTAGAAGTTGTCTCTCTTTTTGTCCTATGCTCTTTGACAACTAATTCTAGTACTAATACTAAAACTAATTGACAACTAGAATTCCATATACTCAATGATGGATAATTGAAATCATCAAATATCAAAACTTTAGAATATATTTGAGCTCTTGAGAAATGTTCTTAACTTTCCTTAATAGAATTAACTATGTTTTGGCAGTTTACCAAATCATTACATAAATGAAACAAAGTAATATGCATTGGTAGCTTATTTAATTTTACACTATATCTGCTCAACATTTTTATTGTGATAGGCTTGTTTCAAGTTTAAACCAAATACAATCTTATTAGTTCTCTATTAGTTAATTAATAATATCAATTTTTACTGGGGTCTTTTTACTATTTTTTGCTGACGACGACATTCCCTGACTTTACATTTATTATGCTTAGATTTTTATCATTAAATAAATAAAAAATAATAAAACTCTCACTAAAATCCTAGCCAATAGAATGACAAGCATTTTACGAAATATAACTAGTTTTAGTCAAACAGCCTCTGAAATCAAATCATAAATAATAACTTTATATTAGAGACATGAGAACATGATAAAGAAAACTGATAAAGAAAATTAAATGCAGTAATAGTTTACTTAGATCAGGTGAAAAAACAGAGTAGATTGGCTTTCTATTTTTAAATAGCTCGAACCATTTTGGTCTTGAAACTTCTTTTATCTCGTATTTAAGACAATTTACAATAACCTAACCTCGAAAATAAAAATAAACGGTTTTTAATCTGAAAGTATTTTAATTGAAAGAGGTGTAAAACAAAGTTATTCTTTGAAATTATCAATAGCGATAGCAAAAATCAACAACTTAGAATTCCATTTATCCATCAATAGACTTTATGTTAGTTTTAATTGTGGCTTAATATTTCTAGACTCTCAGAAAATTTAATTTAACTTATAATTTTGCACTTGAAACGTTGAGTTATATACATTGGATTAAAATTGATCAATATAAATTGAATCGCAGTTAGGTAGATTAAAATTGATTCACATTCGTTGGATCAACGTAGAGTTTAGATTGTAAAAAATAATCAACTTTTGTGATAATTTTATATACGTTGGACCAATATAACTGTGCGAGTTGTATTTTATTGCATCGATATTATTCTTTTCATTGATATCGTTGTTAAATAATATAAATATCGTTGATTCAATGTCATGACATTGAATCAACGTTGGATTTGCATAAGAAAAAACAGCCAACGTTCGTGATGATTTTACATACGTTAGCCCAATGCATATTTGCTAATTGGGCTAGCTTTTGTAGAACCAAAAAAAAAAAAAAAAAAAAAAAAAGGGAAGTTAAACTAAAATGGAAGTTAAACGTAGGAGTCTAAGATCTGTAAATTTAATAAAGATATCTTGAAGTAAGATAAAAATAGAACAGAAATTATAAATCTAACTAATAAAATAAAAGTTTATCAAAAATGCTGGGTTGTGTAATCTATGCTGTGTAATAAAGAGCTAATCGAACCATTGGTAAGATGCCATGGTCTTTGTTTTAAACAGTTAATTGTGTCCACAACCCTAGCCAAAAAGTCCTTTAGGATTTTAGAACAAAAAAATAAAGACAAAATTTTGATAACTATAAACACTTTTTAACTTAAGTGTTTTAATTTAATGGGATTTAAATCTGAAATTTTTTTTGTTCCAACTTATTAGAACTTTTTGACTATAGAACTTTTTGACTAGAGAACGCTTAAATTATTTTTAAAAAAGAGCTCATATGAAGTGTAAGTGTGTTTATATTGTTTATAGTATTCACTTTAAGCATTCAAACTAATCATATCTAGATGATTACCCATAATATTTTTAAATATATTTTAATTATTTACAGCGCTAGCGCTGTAAATAATTAAAATATATTTAAAAATATTATATATTTAAAAATATTATGGGTAGATAGAGAGGAAATATTATGGGTAGATAGAGGTAAATATATTTAAAAATATTATGGGTAGTTAGAGAGTTTTGAAATTCATTATTAGGAAACTCTTATTTTAGAAATATATTTTAACAGAATGGAGAGCTTTTTTGAGAATAAAATTTTGAAAAAAAAGTTTACTTTACAAAAGTTTGAAAATAAAGTAAACCTTTTCTTAAGAAAGATACGGTAAAAATAATAGTATAAAATAAACATGAAGATAAAATTATATATTTTTTTAAATAAAAAAGAGAATATTTTATTGCCAATATTTTTTGCCAATAAAAACACTGTTTTACATAGTTTTCGGTTTTTTAAATTTTCGTTTCTTTTTTTTTTTTCGTTTTTAATTCATTTTTTATTTAGTTGATTTATTAACATTTTTTTTCTTAACGATTTCTTGTGAAAATTTTTTTTAAATAAATATGTGTATATTCTTTTGATGACGTAGTTGTAATTATAAAAGTTTATACTTGTATGTTAACACTTTGTTATAATTATGAAAGTTTATACTTGTATCTTGTATCTATGTTAACACTTTGTTATAATTATGAAAGTTTATACTTCTATCGTGTATCTCATATTAACGATCAGCTTGTTATAATTATGAAATTGTCTACTTGTATCTATTATAACGAGATGCCGCTAAGGGCAAATAAGTGGGCAACGAAAACAAATCACTGAAGTTGACATTTCTAAGAAAATGACGTCAAAACAAGAAGTAGAAGATAAAGAATTTACAAATTTTATTTATCCCATCAATCTTACGAAAAAATTCCCCATAGACCACTTTCAAACAAAATCTACACCATCTACAAATCGTTTTGTCTTTTATAAACCACAAAAACTGTTTTTTTAATAAATTACCGAGGGTCATAATTCTTAACCATGATTTTAGAATCATGACAAATACTAAACTTTAACTTTGAAAACTATAACTTTAACTCAAAATTTCAAACATGCAACGTAGCAACATCAATTTATTTTAAAAGTAAAACACTTACAATCTTATGTTCAAAATTTATGTTAATCCTTTTTACTAAAAGTTAATCCTTTTTACTGAATGTCTTATATATTGATGCATTATCTTTATCTTCTATAGTTTTTGTCAAATATGTGTTGACTATAGTTTTAATCTATTATGATGACGCAATTTGTAGATGAAATATGCAGATTGATTTTAAAATGGTTTTAAAAAAAACCTAATGAAGCTCAATCAAAATAAACAAAAGCCGAAAATAGTTTTTCATCTTAAAAATATCTAAGAATGTTCAAAGAGTATAGTCTTTTCATTTATTTTTAAAAACGGAAAATGAGACTGGCAAACCAAAATTAGGTAGGGGAATTTTATTTTATAGATAAAATTCTTTATAACTTACACGAAGTTCATTAAATTTTATTTGACAAAATTGTGTAGTTAATAAATTATATTCCTCAATGTGTATCTATATATAGTTTTTAGGGTAAAAAGATCTTAAATAGTGGTTGATTGTTTTTACAAAGGAAACATAAAACATAATTATATTATAATTATTATAATTATTATAATTATTTCATATAATTAGTTCGTAAATGTTTAGTGCTTTTATACTTTTAAACAAATGTTTGAAATGTTTTAAAACCAAAAATGTTGGAAATGTTTTGAAATGAAAATCCCACAAAACATTTGCATAGTTTTCACTGAGTCCTCTACTTTACACGTTCTTGGATTACACTTACAACAGAACTCTTGTGGAAATCATATATTCATTGCAAAGATAGCATCTGGTAAACTTGCTTCTCTTTATCAACATTCGCCATTTTCTTACTTCTGATTCCATTTTCTGCCTCTACAAATCTTTTGTTTGTACATTTATGAAACACTGTTGTCATATTTAGCCTGGTTTTTCTAATGATGCTCTTTCTTTTTGAGAAAAGGAACAAAAACGCGTAGTAAATGTTTTTTGATCTGCTCTATCTTCTAAGCTTTAGCCACTCTCCCATTGTTGTAAGATTGCATCTCTTTCTTTTTTCTACAAAAACTGTCATGTTTGCTGCTCAAGCGAACTATTATCTCAAGTTCCATCAACCAAAATTTATTTTATTTATTAATTTATTATTTATTTCTTAACTCGTCATTCAGCAAAGCTGCATTCTTTTACTGTATCTATCACTTTATGCTTTACAAACTTTTATTATTCTAACTATTTTCCTTGCACATGAATGCTTTGAAATTCTCACAATTTTTCTGTTAAAAATCTCACATCTTCATTTTATATTTTTCTTATAAACTGACGCAATAAACTCTATTAAAACACTTCCTGAGAATTTCCTTTCTCAGGAAGTGTTTTAATAGAGTTTATTGCGTCAATTGAGAAATAAGATATATAAGAGTTAAAAATTATGTTTGCTTCTATTCGTCGGCCTTATCAAAGGGGCTAGAGAAGTCCTGAATTATCATCTTTATCACTTAAAATCGGGAGGCTGAATAAGCGCAAATTTCATAAGTTCATTACAAAATTCGCACTCCTTGCACCAAAGGAGTTTGAAAATATTAGTATAAGTGCAAACTGGCATAAGTGCGAAATGGCATAAGTGTGAAGCAGTTACAAAAACTGGTTTAAGTGCAAACTGGCATAAGTAAAAATTGCCGTAGGTGCGCCAAAAGAATTTGCAAACATTGGCATAAGTGCAAACTGGCATAAGTACGAACTGGCATAAGTGTAAAGCAGTTGTAAAAACTGGTATAAGACAATTATGCCAATTCGCACTTTAGCCAGTTCACATTTGTGCAAATTTTGTAACTGCTTCGCACTTATGCCAATGTTTGCAAATTCTTCGGCGCATATATGTCAGTTCGAACTTATACCAATTTTTGCAAATTCTTTGACGCATTTACGCCAGTTTGGACTTACGCTATTCAAACTTATGCCAGTTCGCACTTGTAAAATTTGCGCTTATTCAGTCGTCCCCCTAAAATAACATATATTTATCATGAAAGAACGGTTTTTTTTTGTGTAAATCTTTGTAGATTATGATTTGTTTTCAGACCACCGCCATTTATGAGGTGTATCTTATCATTTATGAGGTGTATCTTATCATTTATGAGGTGTATCTTATCATTTATGAGGTGTATCTTATCATTTATGAGGTGTATCTTATCATTTATGAGGTGTATCTTATCATTTATGAGGTGTATCTTATCATTTATGAGGTGTATCTTATCATTTATGAGGTGTATCTTTTCATTTATGAGGTGTATTTTATCATTTATGAGGTATATCTTAGTACATATTAGGATGGATATTGGTGCGATAGTTTAACAAACCCTATTATCATAAATGTTTCATTACTTTTAAATATTTTTATCTTTGTTTAAAAAAAGGAAATCTAGTATTAAAATTAAAATTACATTTTACTACTTTACAACATGTGGTGTAAAAATTAACATATTGGCGGGAAGCTGAATAAGCGCGAAATGGCATAACATATTGGCGGGAAGCTGAATAAGTGCGAAATGGCATAAGTGCAAAGCGTCGCAAAAACTGGCATAAGTGCAAACTGACATAAGTGTGCGAAAAAAATTTGCAAAGATTGGCATAAGTGCGAATTGTCATAAGTGCAAATTGCCATAAGTGCAAAGCAGTTACCTAAACTGGCATAAGTGTGAACTTGCATAAGTGCAAATTGGCATAAGTTCAAACTTACATAGGTACAAAGCAGTTACAAAAGCTGGCATAAGTGCGAACTGGCATAAGTGCGCGGAATAAATTTTCAAATACTGGCATAAGTGCAAATTGGTATTTCGTACTTATGCCAATTCGTACTTAGTTTTTGCATTTAATGGTGCATCTGATTATACATTTTTCACAGAAAGGTGTTTGAATACCGTCAAATCTTAATAATAAAAAGTTTTTTTATAAAAATATTTTGATAAATGACTAAAGTTTTAAACTCTGAATGAATCTAAACATCTATTTGCATGTCACACCACTTGGTGTACATTGTCTAAATATATGAAAATATTATGCATATGAATATATATATATATATATATATATATATATATATATATATATATATATATATATATATATATATATATATATATATATATATATATATATATATATAAATATATATATATATATATATATATATTGTTTTATTTAGGACAAGTATCATACTTATAAGCGGGTATCACGGCTTTATCTTATAGATTGATACCTGACCTTCAAAGGATATATTTTGCAATAAAAGCTTCTGCTGTTTAAATGTTTTTTTGACATTTTAGTGTGGCTTGCCATAAACACTTGCCCTTCTAAACTAAGAATTATTAATTTCAAAAAAACATGAAAAACATCAGGTGGTGGATTGTTGCTACTAATGCATGTGAAACAATGTTAATACCATCAGCACTGCTTTAAGTCTTTAACAAAAGGAACATTTGCTCTTTCTAAGTTATTGTAGCCAACTATTGTTGTTATTCTTTCAAAGTTATATATATATTACTATTCTAGGAACAAAAACTCAAATATATATATATATATATATATATATATATATATATATATATATATATATATATATATATATATATATATATATATATATATATATATATATATATATATATATATATATATATATATATATATATATATACATATATATATTACTATTCTAGGAACAAAAACTTATTGAGTAAAAGGTAAATTTTATTTACTAAATGAAGAAAATACCACATCACTCTAAATCTTACAAAATAATAACTAAAGACTGTGTTTGTTTGAAAAATCTCCGTTTTCCGTTAGAGATATTTATGAAAAGGTTTATTGGCCTCTAAAATGTAACATACATGGCCGTGTAATATAGTAGGCCATTTAGGGGCCACCATAAAAAAAGTAAATAATTTCACATTACTGTAATTTAAGTAAAATGTATTTGAAAACAAACGAGTTGACTAAAAAGTTTCACAGTTTAAGTAAGCAATTACTAATAAAGTTGTTTCCATTTTTTAATTTATAAACTTTTGTTTTACTTATTATGTGAAAACAAGTCAGTATTTTCTCCAAATAGTTAAGTATGAAAACTGATTTGCTGTATACAACCGTCATTGCTGTAAACAACTGGCAATGCTGTAAAACAACCGGCTTATGTATGTATGTATGTTTGTATGTATGTATTATTCCACTTTAATTAACAAATTAAAAAATTATATGTGATTGCACATGTGGTATATACATACATATATACCACATGTGCAACTGATTTTTTATGTGTATTACATGTCTAGAAAAAGGTACTCGATGACAAGACTGAATCAAGTCTTCTGCGAGCTTCCTATAACTACAAACAATTAATTATTTTTATCAATCTTACACAAATTTCGTTATTATCATATTTATACACAAATATTATTTTGAAATGTGGTAAATAAAATTATAATGAAACAACTAAACACTCCTTCAAAATATCAGCAGATTTTTTTTTATTTATTGTATTTTTTGTTTTAATTGGAAGAATATAGAGATATATTTCTCGAATTATTTTTACGTACACGTTATTATATTGTTGTAATTGGTATTTATTTTAATCATGTCTTAGAGTTGTATGCAACTATATTTTTATTTACTTCGTATATTTCGAACTTTACGTTTATGATATTTATATTTGTATATCTTTACCGCCAATCTGTGATTGGTTACTTGTAAATACTTTGTAGTTGTAAAATAAACATGTATAAAAAAATATATATAAATGATGTATTTTATATATTAAATTCAGTTATTAAATACATAATTAAAGCGATATTCAAATACAAAATAATTTAAAAATTAGAAGAGTATTTGAAAAATGGATCTAATTGGACATGAGATCTATTTGCACGCATGTTCAATTAGACTATATCTTATTGTAGTCTACTCGCACGTTAGAAAAAAAACTTTTTTCTAACGTGCGTCATTTTTTTTATAATAAAAAAGTAACAATAAAATAAAAATTTGTAATTTAATTTATGCATTTTGAAAGCAATTTAAATCTAAAAAATGATTAAAATTTTTTTTTAATTACTTAAATTTAATTAAATAGAAAAAAAAATTTGCCACAAGATAATATATACTGTGAAAAGTACTTTTTTTTAATTAAAAGATTGTCTGTCCTAGCCTTGTTTATGTATTTACACTGCATCGCGCCTTTTCTTAAATAATCAATCGACAAATGCTGCGCTAAAGGTACACTTTGCTGCGCCAGATAACTTAATTAAATTTAAAAATCAAATCTTATTTTTTATAAAAATTTTATTTTTTATCAATTTTCAAGAGCAAAACTGCTAAAGTTTTTATTCACGTAAAGCTGACCAAATACTGAGTAAAAGCACTTGCTCATTTTTATTCACCCGGCCTAATGAAATTTTAAAGCTAGTTTTAATTTTTCTCTTTTTGTCTGGTATGTTAAATACATTTTGGTATGTTAAATACATATTATAATTGTAGTTATCTGGTATGTTAAATACATATTACAAATGTAGTTAAATAACATATTCAATACCTTTATAAATTTAAAGTAAAATATATGGAAATATATTGTTTAATATAATTAATGGAAATATATTGATTAATTTAATTAAAATTATTTTTTAATTAGATGCATCATTGTATTAAATAAATCAGAAATTCTAATAGCATTTCTGATTTATTTTCAAAGTTTTTTACTTTAATTTATTTATTTTAATATTATTTATTTTTAAAAGTTAAAGAAAAGAAAAAAAGAGTGTAAATGATTAATAAATGTTTAATAATATTATTGAAACAAAAAATATTTTTACTTAATTACACATTATTATTAATATATTAATGATACATTAAAACATATTATAAATGTAGTTAAACAACTTGTGTAATACCTATATAAATTTAAAATATATGAAAATCTATTAGGATTATGAGTCAATGCTAATTAACTAATATATGTTAAATTTTTGTTTAGTGTAAGAGTTATAAATCTTTCTCGATTTTTTTTCTTTAGATGTTCCCATCGAAGCTATTCTTACCTATTAGAAGCAATCAATTATTAAATTTGTTAAACCAATTGAAACAATAAATCCGCCTTAATCTGTTCTTGCATATACAACGTCATTTTTGCTCTTTTCACAAGTTATATTACTTTTTTGGTAGAAAAGCAAAAAAATGAGGTTTTATGTACGCTTTTTGCAGCTTATTTGTTTTTTGGCATTAATCACTTGGATACTCATTTACTACATAAAACGTTAGAAACATTGTTTTATATTTTTATGTTAAGTTTTCTTTATTTTTATTACTTTTGTGTTTTGCAGTTAGCAATTAATTTATTTATATTACAGTTCAATCTGACATCTTCCTGGAGACACCCTTTCATAAAAAAAATACAAGTGAAACATTCACCTATAAAAAAAGTACAACAAAATATGAAACAACAAACAAGGTTTACCGACTCGCTGTTGTTTGTTACATACCTTCGTCACCTAACGAAGTACAAACTTTTTTAACTATGTTGTATGGTTCCTGGAGGTATATAAGTAATAAAAAAAATGAATTTAGTAAAACGCGTCGTTTAGTAAACCATGTCAATCTTATAGTATTTACGCATGTCGATAATATAGTTACACTAAAAACTGTTTGCCAAAAGTATAATGCACTATTAGATAAAAAAGATAATGACGAACGTTGCTGGTATATTCGACAAGATTATGAGATGGATATTGGGTATGATGCAGTTAACTCGTTTATAATGTTTAATCGGACCGACATATACAAAATTTTAATGCCGTATAAATATACTATGCGCACCGACTACGATGTGTTTCTAACCCCAGCATTGTATACATGGAAAGTTAAAAAAGATTTGGTGGTAGGAAGAGGGAATTACGGTGTTTCTTTTACACGTAAAAGGTTAAAACAAATATCACTAAAGTTGAATATGACTCATAAGGGGGTTCATAATGTTGGATCAACATGGGTTGGGGAATCAAAGTTGTTTATCAACTTAGCAACAAAGGTTTTAAAAAATACAGCTTTAATATACTTAAATGAATTTAATCCCAACTTTCCTGGATTACGAAATCTTAAACTAAAAAAAAATAAAAACGGTGTTTGGCCTCTGTGGTGGAGGCCAGTCTCTTTATTATACGGGGCGGAAATTTCACTCAACCATTGGATTGACAATTTTTCCGTTTTGAACAAAGACCATTTAGATACATCTTCATGTTCTAATTTTAGCATATGGAATAGCCCACATGTTCATTGTTGGCATAATAATTGTGAGTTCTACAAGTTTAGTTTCTTTGAGAAATTAAATGCAATTCTTGGTACAAGTGAATATATTTCATCTTCTAATTTTCACCTTTTATTCGACAATCTTTGCGATAAAGATGTATCAAAAATGACTATCAGTGAATACTCAACTTTTATTGCATGGAATTCAGCTGGAAAATATCTGAGTAAAATGATTAATTTTAAATAGATATAAATTTTTATAAATATGTTTTATATATAATCTTTTCCCCACCTATATAACATCTGGTATTACACAAGGATCCATACTTGGTACATTCATTTTTATGATATAAATCTTCATAAATCACTAAACTTAACAACAATAAGCATTGCAGATAATACAAACATTATTTTTATCTCATAAAAATATTAATATGCTTTTTACTATTATGAAATATGAATTTAAAAAAACTTCTGTTTGGTTTAACGGGATTGCCCAAGAAACAATTTTTTTTTTGTCTTGTAAATAACCAAATTTTGATCTGTATGTATGACCTTAAAAAAAAGATTTTAAAGACGCTAAAGATTTTTTTTGACATTTTGTTGTTAAAGTGAGACAATATACACAATTTTTAAATACGATATCTGCAGATAATAGCATAGTTACTACATCAAATTTTCCACATAGCTTCAAGATGATAGTAAAATCCATTTACCATACCAATTTTATGATTAACTTATTTAGTCAAAAGTTATGCTACTATTAGTAAAAAACGTATTTAAGACATAGCACTATTTGTATAAATGTTAAAAACTGAAAATTTCTTGAAAATTGTATTATATATATATATTATATATATAGTATATATATATATATATATATATATATATATATATATATATATATATATATATATATATATATATATATATATATATATATATATATGTATGTATGAGTGTGTGTGTGTGTGTATATATACATATACAATTATATATATACATATCAGGGGCGGATCCAGCATTTTTTGGTCTTTGAGATTGCTAACTTTCAGACATGGAGCAAACTTCAAACTTTTATATGTTTATACTTATGTTAAATAAGAATGCTTTGCAAAAAGTTGCAATGATTGGAGGTTGGGAACAAAAAAGCCCCAGAATTTGTGCCCCCCTGCCCCAAACGTGAGAGCAACAAGTTGATGAAACAATTGTTATACTATTTTTAACTAGACTTATATTCATCGATAAATTTTAAGTTTCATAGTAAAATAATTTAGCGTTCAAAAATTATGACCATATAAAATTTGCAACCGCCTCAAATTGAGGGGGATTTAAACTTTATATGGTCATAATTTTTGAACGCTAAATTATTTTACTATGAAATTTAAAATTTATCGATGAATATAAGTCTAGTTAAAAAATAGTATAAAAATTATTTCATCAACTTGTTGCTCTCACGTTTGGGGCAGGGGGGGCATAAATTCTGGGGCTTTTTTGTTCCCAACCTCCAATCATCGCAATTTTTTGCAAAGCATCCTTATTTAACATAAGTATAAACATATAAGAGTTTGAAGTTTGCTCCATGTCTGGAAGTTAGCAATCTCAAAGACCAAAAAATGCTGGATCCGCCTCTGCATATATATATATATATATATATATATATATATATATATATATATATATATATATATATATATATATATATATATATATATATATATATATATATATATATATATATATATATATATATATATATATATATATATATACCAAGGATGTATCGAAGCTAAGGTTTAGCCACACAAAATGAGGTGCGCACAAAATTTTCATTGAAAACCTTGCCGAATTCCACTTGTTAATGTCTTTATTTGATCAGATGTAATTGTAAACACCCAACCACTTATAAGGGCATTCATTTTTTAGTAGTGTTGATAGGCTAAAGTCGAAGTTGACTTCGTCCATGTTGAATCAGAACTATGAATCAATTTAAAGTTTAAACTAATATTTTAAATCTTTAATCAAGTAAGAAAAAAAGAATACTTTTATTCAACCTATAAATAAACATTTATAGTTGATGAATAATTATGTTTTGCATGGAAAATTAAAAATATTAAATGCAACCAGGCCCGTAACTACAGGAAGACATGACCTGCCTGTATATAGTTTGAGTCTGTTTGCAGTAATCTTTCCATAATATAAATAATATAATTTTGTCTACAGCAATTCTGGTGTGCAAACAAACTTGTAAATAAATTTCTATTAACAGGTCTGAATGCAACATAATTATTAATTTGAAAATTAACATCAATTTTTAGTTTAATTTTGTAATAAATAAATAAAATTACAATTTTATTTAGATGTTTTTTATTCGTATTATTTTCCTTTTAAATTTTGAGTTTTTCGTCTAGGATTTTTACTATTATACTTTTTCCCCCTCCATCAGTGTTTTCACATTCTTATGAAGCATTTTCATTTATATCCATTTTCTCTAATAAGCTGTACATGCCCATGATTTTTTTTTTGACTGGACAATTACGATCGGAGTCTTTAACGAAATTAACTTTATTTGCTTTTTGTAAATGATCATTTTCAACAAGCAAGCAAATTTTATATCAAGGGTACTACTGCCATCATTTAGAGTATCGATACTCCAAATGAAAGCGGTAGTACCCTTGATACGAAATTTTCTTAAACATAGAACTTACATTAAATATAAAAAATTACTCATTAATTTTGATAAGTAGGCAAACAAATAAAAAAATAACAACATAGTTTGCGGCACGTCGCAATGTATACTATATATGCCGCGGCATATATAGTATCATCATCATCACATCATCACATCAAATTACATGTAGTAGAATTATAGTAACTATTTTGTAAACAATAAAATTATTTTATTTTTAATAAAACAGTAGTTATATATATATATATATATATATATATATATATATATATATATATATATATATATATATATATATATATATATATATATATATATATATATATATATATATATATATATATATATATATATATATATATAATTGAGCTAATTAGAAACCATATAGGAAGTTCTATTGGATGGAAAAATGCGCTTATGCTAGATCATTATGATTGATCCAAAAATCAGATCAACTTTGGTTTTAGACAAACTCAAAATTGGCAGGCAAAAGAAATTTCTTCATTTAAAATTTTTGCAGAGGTTATTTAAGATTCGAAATAGTAAAACAAGTGGTCAAACTATAAACAGAGTTATTAAAGTTCTAGAAATTAACTTTGATGCTCGAATATGGTATAAGTTCAAATATTTTTGATAAATTCAGATAACAAAATACATCAATGATTTTTCTTCTTATTCAGAAAGTGTTTAGAGATCATGTACAATTTGTTTCCAAAGTTTCTCATATTGTCTATGGTATGGAAGCACGTCAAAACTTATTGTGGTTAAAATTCTAATCAGAAAGCATCAAAATAGTTTTTCATTTAAATGTTTATTTGTGTCTAAATAAATTTTTTTTATAAAATTGTACATAATGAGTTTCTGAATAATTGTTTTAATTATTTAATATACAAAATGTGTATAGATTTTCTATATTTAAATAAACACAATTTTCTTTAGAATTTTGAAACAAATGGTCTTAGAATTCCATCTGCAAAAAGTTTATAGAGTATTTTATTGAGTTGCAATTGGTAGTCTAAAGAAACATCTACTTTTATAAACCATTTGTTTCAAAATGCCAATAGAAAATAGTTATTTTTAATGAAAAAATAGTTATTTTTAATGAAAAAAGTTATTTTTAATGAAAAAATACACAAATTTTGTTATGGGGTTGGGTAAAAAATGAATGACAATTTTATATTTTTACTTTTAAATTGTATTTTTAACTCTTTAAATACTGATTGAACAGTTTTTTTTCTCGTGGTTGTCTTTGATTTGTCAAATATTCTGAAGTAACAAAATATTCTTTATCAGAATCGTAACAGTCCAAGTCCATGAGAAAACTAGATTTTTCAACAAACTAAAGTTTTATTTTTATTTATTTATTGAGTTTTCATGCTATATTTTTCTATACAATGTTGTTATATCCAAAGGTATTGTTGGCTTAGCATAGGAACAGCCACAAATAGTCATTAAGACTAATCCAAAGTAGTGTCCGTTATTGACCAACATTTTTGCGTACCGAAGTACTACTCAAGCGCTGAATTGGCGGTGGCGGGATTTGAACTCGTATCGTTCAACAGTCCGGGTTTTCACTTTTCCTTTAACGCTCTAACCATCTGAGCTATCCCGCCACATTTAACTATGATGTTTTTGAAACTTCAACCCAAAAACACTTTGTTTTTGACAACATTTTATATCTCAAGAATGTTATTGATCCAGACAATAGATTTCTAAAAATAATATCATATGAAGATTAAACGGACTTTCATCAATATAAATGATATTTCTAGAACGTTGTTACAATGTCAAGTTTAAATACCATTTTTTTTCTTTCTTCTTTTTATTTCTGCAGTATTGCGTCTTTCACTAATGGATCTTAAAATTTTATATGTATAATTCAATTTTTTTAACCATTGTCATAATGTAGAGGTATAGAAACTAATGAATGACTTTTTACATTAAATTCGAATTACTTTAAATTATTTTAGTGAATCGATTAAAATAAGTTTTAATATTATTTATTCATGCAAGCTTTTGATTTTTTTCTTTTTTATATTATCACTTTCCGTTTTTTTTAAAAAAAACTTTACTCAAAATTACTCGAAAATACATTCAAAACTTCCGACAATTGTAAATAAATGTTTAAAAAACTTTAGAGTTACTTTTCCTAAGTCTAACAAGTGCCCTTAAAATAATAATTTAACTTAAAAATCCCAAACAAACAAAATTGTCTTTTTCACATAAAACAACTTTTTAAAGAAATAAATAAGTTTGTTAAGAAATTGAAATTCAAAAATATCTTTTTCTGGGTGTTTGACAGCAATCTAAATAAAAAATTTTCAAAATTTTTATTCATTTTTAAATTATTATTAGTCATTTGATGTTTTTATTATAAAAACAATTTTTATTATGTCATCAAACAATCAAACATCTTTAATATTTATGAGCTAAAAAGTAATGCTTTGTAAATGCTTTGTAAAGAAAAGTAAATAAAGAGAATGTCCGACGAAATAATCAAAGATCATGAATTTCAAAACCCAATCGAAAAATATAAAATAACTATGTTTAACATCATTATGGGTACCACAATAAA